TTCTTTCCGTTAACCAGCTATCGCACCCCTACGAATTTTCAAATAACCTAATAAAATTAGCAATCTATATTTACCCCCATCCCAAGCTATGATAATGTTGTCACTAAGATTTAACAATGCCGTGATGCATCTGTGACCGAACCAGATTCATATGTTTACACATCACATTCGAGGTATAATATGGGGGTATATTTTTCAATATTCTTTGAGAAGTTAACATGATTAAAAAATTATTTTGCTGTTATACAGTTGAGGAAAAAAGTTCATCAAAGGTTTTCAAGTACATATTATCAATAGATTGTCCTTAGCTTGACCACTGTGTACCTCACCTACACAGTATGGTTTGTTATCTACAAATTATGTTAGAAAAAATGTCTTATTTTCAAATCTTGAAGGAAACTTATTTTAATATAGGTGAAAATTGTTAAACAGAATAAACCTGATGCTGAATTAGGCATCTATTAAAGCTCCCTTATCTGAAGTTAGGAAAGTACAAATTGATTTTCTCAATTTCATTACTTCAGTGTTAATATTTAAATGAACTAATTCTTGTTATTAGGAATTGATATTGGTTTCATATCATAAAATCTGCAGACTCTTTCAAGTGGAAATTGGAATCTAAGGATTTGAATATATAATGACTTCTGACTTTTAATAAAGAATCCATTGGAGTTGATACATCTTCAGAGTTTTTCCTGTAGTGAAATTTTTGTGCTGATTCTTAACATTTTTTGGATGCAATGAAATATATATTCAAAGAATGGAACTCTGTGTGGCTCAAGTCTGAATTTCTGGCCATCTAAATATTTCGAAAAGGACATGTGAAGGTTTCTGATAAAAGTTTACACTTGAGATTAAACCAAGGGTATTCTGAAGCTGACGTCATGATACTAACACATTTTTCTTGTAGGTTTCCAGATCGATTTCAGCTTGCCAGGGTGTGATATTATTGGTGGATGCAAATGATGGTGTTCAAGCACAAACTGTTGCAAATTTTTATCTAGCTTTTGTTAATGATCTGGTTATTATACCTGTTCTCAACAAAATTGATTTAAAGAATGCAAATCCTGAAAGGGTTTGTAATCAGCTACAAACATTATTTGACATAAATCCAGATGGCATTTTGAAGGTATGTACTATTCGAACTATTTCACTTAGCAGACATAGTTTCTATGAATACAAATCATAAGTATAGAATCTTTCAGATTTCGGCAAAACTCGGAATGGGTATAGAAGAAGTTTTGAAGAAAATTATAACCAGTTTGCCACATCCTCCTGCTGATAGAGAAGCAAAATTCCGAGGTTTATTATTTGATTGTTCATTCAACAAATATAGAGGAGCTCTAAGCTTGATCTATGTAAAGGATGGATCTATTTCTGTCGGAGATCAGATTACCTCTTTTCATAGTAAAAAAGAATATGAAGTGAAAACCCTATCCCTCTTGAGGCCAGATGAAGTTCCTGTTGAAAAATTGTAAGTGAGAAAACTGTAGGTGGTTTTGATATATTATCATAAATAAAGAAATGGTGGCGATGACTGCCCTTAAACAGATGATACTTGAGGATCAACATGAAACTCGAACCATTGTAAAGCTAAGTTTTGACTTTGACCTCGGTATGAGAATTAGCTTGTCTTTTGAAACCTATTTGTCTTTGGTCTATGGTATCATCTAGATGCCTGGTTACAGTGAAAGCCGCAGAGGATGGTAGCAAGTTGTTATACAGTTGTCAATGTTGAAACTTGACTTTACATTAGACCAGCACTATTACCCTCATTCATCTTCGATAATCAAGGTTTGAGTTTCTGTTGATCGCAAATGATTGTCCTTATTAGAGATTGAAAAGTTCAAATAGGCATCCATGACCCGGATAATACTACTGAAGATCTGGTATATCTATTGAAAACACTTTCCCAACACTAGAACAAAATTACGGTCTCTTGACGCACGGTTCGCTAACCAACAAAATTTTACTTCTATGTTAGTGTTTTTATAAGCTAGTGGCCTAACTACTACCTGGTGTAGTACCTAAATACTACCGGTTAGTATTAAGTAACTCTACATGTTATTGTTCCTGTGCTAAACTACCTGTTTTTTAGTACCTCTAATTTGTTATGTATTTCCTCTATATTAGTAACTATCCCCTAAATTTTTTCTTTCAATATTTTTTCATTATTTAGTCTTATATAACAGGGAGAGTTAAATAATACTAACAGGCCGCTAGAATATAAAAATACTAACATAGTAAAATTTAGTCATAATGACTTCTTAAGGACACTAAAGTTGTTATCAAAACGCGCATCGAGAGACTGTAATTTTGTTCTGGTGTTCGGTATATGATTATGAATGCCACGATTTGGGTTCCTGGTAACCTAGTCTTATTTCTCATATGTATTTTTTGTAACTTCTTGCTTCCAAATGCTGAAATCATCTTTAGTTATTGCAACTTGACTACAATTATATGTTTAAGGATTGCAGGACAAATAGGTTTGCTGGGTTGCAATATGAGATCCAGCAAAGAAGCATATATTGGAGATACCATACACCATTCTAAGGACATAGTAGAACCTTTAAAGGGTTTCCGTGCTTCTCAACCAATGGTGTTTGCAGGCGTCTATCCAATGGATCAATCACAGCATTTGAATTTGAGGAATGCCATCGAAAAGTTGACATTGAACGATTCTGCTGTGACTGTTGAACTTGACACAAGGTGGGAGTTTATGAAATACTAACCAAACAAATATCTTTCGGAAATACTGTCACAAAAAGTATCAAACTCACTGATATTGAAATTCTTTTGTTCTCAAGCCCAGCTCTTGGTCAAGGATGGAGGTTAGGCTTTCTGGGATTGTTACATTTAGAAGTTTTTACACAAAGATTGCAACAAGAATATGGGACAGATCCAATCATTACAGCACCATCTGTGACATACAAACTAAAATTGAAGCCTACGAAACAGAACATAAAGGATGGCAAAAATATAATTTATATAAATAATCCTGCCAATTTTCCTGATCACATCACAATTGAGGAAGGATTTGAACCAACCGTAATAGGTAAGAGATACAAACAATTTGTAGTCTTTTCAGGATAAAGTCAATGAAATACTGATCACATATATATTTTAAGGAACAATAATAACCCCAGACAAATATCTTGGACCCATAATGTCCCTTTGCATGGAACGCAGAGGTGTTCAAAGGAGTGCAAAGAATATTGATAATGAAAGAGTGATGCTGCAATTTGAGATGCCTTTGTGTGAAGTAGTTATAGATTTTCACGATACTTTGAAAACCATTTCTTCAGGATATGCAAGCTTCGACTATGAAGACAATGGGTACCAGAGTAGCAATTTAGTGAAGGTATTTCTCTCCCAAAAGGCAAATTCATTCCAACACTGATGCTATTATTTTACAGATGTGCATTCTGTTGAATGGAAAATTGGTAGATGAGCTGAGTAGCATTGTGCACGTTATGAAAGCTCAAACGATTGCCAGACAAATGGTTCACAAACTGAAAAATATGATTCCAAGGCAAATGGTGCAAGTTGCAATACAGGCTAGTGTTAATGGTAAAGTTCTTGCAAGGGAAAATATACAGGCCTATCGAAAGGATGTTACGTCAAAACTAGTGAGTTTCAAAAAATATTTATATCAAGACTGTATAAAATGTTTGATTTCCTTTCAGTATGGAGGTGACGTTACTAGGAGAATGAAACTATTGGCGCAACAAGCTGCTGGAAAGAAGAAAATGAGAATGATTGCAAATATTTCAGTTCCGAGAGATACCTTTATAGATGTGTTGAAAAAATAATGTGAGAACTAAAACCATACTGGTACAATATTTATCAGACTAGTCACACAAACTGAAGAAAAAGCAGCTTATACATTGAAATCTAAAAATTCTTCGACACTGTAAAAGGCATTTTCTAGGAGAAGGTCTGTTGAAGCTTTTTTGAATGTACTGTAATTTTCAATATTTCCTAGTAACCTAGTTGCTTTGTTATAACATATGACTCCTTTTCAAAATGGTTTAGACTTTCACGGCTGAGGTTTTCAGTGTCATTGCTTTTCGAGTTTGAATGCCGTGGATTTTTTGAATTTCTTCCTGACGTTTCGCTGGCGCGAGTGGCTAGCTTCTTCAGAGGTTTAACCATAATGGCTTGCTGTACGATGACTACCTTTTAGGCTTCGTAAAGCGTATTTATGCTTTGTCAGGTAATCCGTTGTATTTGTACCTGCATATGACTCCTTGATAGCTTGCCAAGTCTTGCCCGAGGGTTAATCGTGAGTAAGGTAGTCTCAGTTCATTTCCTCTGCGAGTATTGTGATCATGTATCATACGGTTTTTTGTATGGTGTGATTTATTTCTTTTGATATTCATAGTTATGAGCAAAATATATAAAGACTGTAGTGTTAAAATAGCTAGATCTGTAAACACTGTCTTGCATGATTGTCTACAATGTATGCCAGCGATGCATCTAATAATTTTTTTTTATAACAAACACTTTTGTTAGGTATGCTGAGTTTCCCCAGAATATTAACCCATTTGAGATATTAGATTGTACTAATCCGAAATAGGCCAATTTGAGTACTTCTAGTGATACTGTTCCATGTAGTTGTCTTATTATGAAGCAGACTCTACTAAGTTTTGTTATTAGATAATCTGTGTGTTGTCGCCAAGTTAACTTATGAATTACTAATCCTAGATACTTATATTGATTCACCTGCTCTATAGATCTGTGATGTATTTTTAATAGTGAACAATGATCATTAGTAAGATTGTTTTGTTGATAATTCATGAAAACATTTACATTAACAAGTAGACCGTTATTTGTGCACCATTGTGAAAATTCATCAGCAGTTTTATTTGCAGCTTGAACAGAGAGAAAAAGTTCATTTTCTGCTACTATGATAGGTATCATCAGCATATATTATTGTTTTTTGTGGAGATACACATATCACTCATAAATATTATAAAGAGAAGCGGAGCCAATGTTGAGCCTTGTGGAACTCCTAATGAGACAGAAGCTGTTTGTGATTTTATTTCATCTATTACTACTATTTGCGACCTTTGACATAAAAATGATGCTACCCATTCATTGGCTACTCCTCTTATATGAATATACACACATCGGAAAAGTCTAGGGATATTTTTTAAAATGGCAATAATTTTTTTTTAGATCGCTTTAGGGAAAAAACCTCACGAAATGAGAAATGAAACTTTCTTTGTTTTAAAATACCTTTTTTGTAACTAACGTTACTGCAGTTTCATCCAACAAGGATTTTCTCAAAACGCCGTCCTTTTATGGGTCTTTTCAGTCTTGTGAACAGAAAAAAGTCGCAGGGCGTCAAATCTGGTGAATATGGTGGCTAAGGCATGATTACGGTGTTGTTTCTGGCCGAAAGCATGGCATGAGCCAACCGATATACCAACATCCTCAGCAACTTTTCTAACAGTGATTCAACGATTGTCCCTAACAATTTTCTTCACTTTCTCAACATATGTATCGGTTGTTGATGTGCTGGGGTGTCCAGGGCGACAGTCGTCATTTACATCTTCTCGACCTTCTGAGAAAAGCTTGTACAGAGTGGGCCAAACTGGACACTTCTAAAGGGAATCTCCTGTTTTGAACCAGATAGATGAAAACTGATGGCTGTGTTTGGGGGTCAAATTTTATGACAAACTCAATGGTGTAAACCGTGTATCGACATTTATCATCATTTCTGAGTTACAACATGTTTTTCGAAAATGTGCATTCTCGAAAAGTTGCTGTAACTTTTACGGCTGGTAAACTCATTAATTTACATTGAAAATAGTGGCTTCAAAATAGAAACTTGGAGTACTTCTGGTCTTCACATATTGTTTGTGATTCACAAGGTAAGATTTAAACCAAGACAAACCATTATATCCTATCCATAATGGTAGAGCTTTTCCAGCAGTATTCTGTAATTTACACAATCAAAAGCTTCTGATACATCACAAAACACCGCTGCTGTTGCCTCCCCCGATTCTATATTGCTGTAGGTTTAACATAAAATGAAAATATTGTATATTAATCCCTATGTTATTTTCACTACCCAATGGTGACCTTGTTATCTGAAAGAATATACAGATGACTTCTCATTATTACTTTCAAATGAGTGAACAATTAACTGAAAACATATCTTTTGACAAATCACACAAATATTTTTCAATAATTTTTTAATCAAATTGAAAGGGGTATATTTTTAGGAGAGATTAGTTTTTGGGAAACAAGGGTTTTGACTTTTTACTTCTTTATAATAAAAAAATTTGGGAAACTTCTAAAGTCTCATTATAATTGTCTACTTTGCACTAAATATACATTATTTGAAAATATTTGCTATAGATATATCAACTTTCTTTTCCTTTGAATGGTCAGATAGTGCATCTTTGAATGCTGTGCTCAGACTAACTTGGTCCTTATCTTCTGTTTTTCCAGTTCGCTCTGATTTCAGAATCTCAATAGCTGCTTTGTACATTTGTTCAGGTGTCATATCACCATCATATTGTTTGTGAATTTTCTGATGAATTTCAAGAAACTTCTGTGTCAGTGATTGGTAATTTTCATTAAAGAGATTTGTTGAACCTAAGTTTTGTTTATTATTCCTTTGAAACATACTGAAAAAATGTTTAATTTGAACAGATAGTTAAATCATTTTTATAGATCAACAACCAAAACCTTAACACTTCCTTTACTACTTACGCTCTGATTTTGTCTTCCTCATAAAATATTTTCTTTAGTTTTATATTTGGAACGACTCTGTCGAATTTGGGTTCATCTTTAGGAGGAAAACAGCACATGTCAATCAACAACATTTCTTCTATAACAGAGAATATTAGGATCTGATATTCTGGCTACTACAATACAGAATACTATCATAAATTTTTATACCATTCTATAAGTAAATCCTTATAACATAAATTCAGAATTAACTATTAAAAACATTGATCACGGCGAGTCTAACAAATTCAAAAAATTGTCCGATGTTTCCGGGTTTATTGACAGTGGTCTGCAGGTTTTTATACCTGATATGAAAACCTGCTAACCATGAGTACTAAATCCGGAAAAATCGGAGAATTGAATAAAAATTGTTGATAATTGAACTGACTTGTTGCAGTTCCACCCCTAAAATAATTCAACTTACTTTTGATGCAGTTCTACTATTGTTGAAAATAATTATGGTATCAACCCAGAATACATAAGAAAAATATAGGTACTTCGTCATTACTGAAACTAACGTGTTAATTAAGTTTTTGTTCCTTCAATTTCTTCATCACTATTTTATTATTTTGTTAACAATTAGAGCATCGGAGCCACTACTACCAAGTGATATCAAGGACGAGGCGCCGAAATATAATTATTCACGAAAGCGTGGAAGGGCCACAAAAATCACATTGAAAATTTTGGCATATACCAATACTGTGTGCACCATGAAATATTTTTTGAAAAATATACTATACAAATATACTGAGAAAAATACATAGTTTCTCAACAGCATAGCTTCATCATAACCAATCGATCAATACCCAATTGATAATTGGAAATAAAGCTTTCAATACATGGTATCAGAATCTTCATTCAGTGAGAGAGATTATGAATTTACAAGTACCTAATTACAGCCTACACTCGGTATTATATACCGTTTGCGTGAACCTGTTATCATTTATATTGCGAAAGTTGAAGCCCATGAAATGTAAGAATTTATTGAGAACTGGTGGCTCATTGAAATCGCTGCTCCATTGAAATTGCTGCTCCATTGAAAACGCCGCTCCCTTTGCCTCTTAGCCCAAGATCAGCATTGACGTCATATGGTAAGTATTATTTTCTCAAATAAATCAAATTTCTTCTCATTAATTTCTTTCCTTTTATAAAATGAATATATTCATCATAATTCCGAAAAGGGCTTGACAATATTCATAATATAATGGGGACAACTAATGCATCATAATGTATAGGATAATAATCGTAATACACAGAAATTTACTCCGTCATAACGTTATTCGCTATCCCTGTTAATATAATATAAAACTCATCTACTATGTGACATCTTTGGTTATGGTAACAAAAAAAAGAAGAATTAACCTTACTTACCGGTTTGTATATGGTTATAGTTAATATTTAAATTTTTGAATATTTGTTTTTCGTTTTTCCAAAAGGAGGCAGATATAAAACCGAAATATAGATAATGGCAAAGGACTTGAAAATATTCGTAAGTGAACAATGTTTTTTTTTTTTCGGTATTGAGAGTTGTTGATTTCAGCTGATTCCTAATGACCAGTGCAGAAAAGCAGGCATAGCTGCTACTTCGTTACCCATTGATGAAATATCAGTATTTGCTTACGAAAAAAGAAACATTCTCCAAAAGGATGCACCAAGCCATTTCGCATCAAATGTTCCAGCAAGTGTCTTTCATCTCAGACAGGATGTACTCCTCTTTCACCCAATACTTCGTAAATTAGTTAATGAATCTAACGGTGTATTTCTAGCAGTACAATCGATGGTCAACTCCAAGCCTGCTGACCAAAGAGTTGAATTGTTCAAGCTCAGCAGACAGTATCGGTCAATAATAAGAGCTTGTCTTGAAAACTTACAAGACGAAATTACTAAATCTAAAAGTGCAGAAAAAGAAGAGCTGCAAAATTACATCACAGTGTTTTATTCAGTTGAGTGCATTTGGCATTTGTGTGAAATACTTTTTGTAGATGTTATACCAGGAAATTTAGTATTAACACAGTTACTAGAGTGGATCAGATTCCACTTCCCGAAATATGAAAGGAATGCAGCTACGATGCTGTCTGGTGATTTGAGTGGATTAGAATCTCACCCAGAGTTTTGGGAAACAGTCTTAGGTGCACTTCTTCAAGGTAGAGTGAAAGTCGTTAGGGCTCTTTTGAGACAGCACTCTGCATCAGATAGTAGTACTTTCAAATTAGTGGATCAAGTACTGAGAGCTATGCCAGTGTGTGATGTATGTATCTAAAATCTTCAGTAAATATTTGATGTTAGGGATCACACGAGGATTTGAAAATCTTTGAAAAACATGTGAATTTAATTTAAATTAGACTTACATATACTTATCCTCTGACCATAACAACACTATTTTTAGTAACATGTTCTCAATGATAACCTCTCTTCACAAGAGTTATTATTTGTTTGCCATATCATGAAGAGTTGATGTCAAGCTTTCTTTCATATTTGTTAACTTGTAAATGGTACTTTCTTAACAATTGGGTTTCAATGAAAAGAAACTGCAATCATTATTTCTGAAAACTGTAGCTACTCAGGACATCACAGACTTATTACAAAAAATCAAAAACAAACATACAAGTGAATATGATGAAATACCATCATCTTCAATGAAAGAAAACATTTTGCATCTGAAAAAGTATTAACCTGTATAATTCTCTCTGATACAAGTGCATATGATGAAATACCATCATCTTCAATGAAAGAAAACATTTTGCATCTGAAAAAGTATTAACCTGTATAATTCTCTCTGAAAATGGGAATATATCCCCATCAAACAAAACAATTTTCAGTGAAATCCATTTTTTTAAAAGTGATGTAGAACTAATGGAAAATTACAGACTTCCCGGAATACTTTCTCCAAAATATTTGAATTAGCATATTGTACACAACTAGTAAATTTATCATAAAACGAATATACAATCAGTCTAAATGAAAATTTTTCAAAAACTATTGCAAGCTGACCAAAAGCATATTTACCAAGTGTTCAAAATGAGTAGATGATTGAGTATCTTGTACAATTTTTTTGTTAATATTTTTAGGGATCTAATGGTGCATCCATAAATGAGTTCAATATGCAATGGAGGCATTGGACAATGGATGTTCAATCAAAAATAGATGCAAAATTATTTAGTGCTGTGAAACATTTGGATTTGATCATGAGAGTAAGTATTGAAGGGATGTAAAATCCTGATTAAACATATAGTATATAACAGTACAGATCATACAAAGTACTCCAGTATCAAACATCAAAATGATAACAAATCACATCTTGTTCCTTTGAACTTGAACCTACCAAATGATAGTTATTGGGTCTGTACTCTCTATTTGCCATATAAATGGTCTGGATAATTTACCTGAAGTGTTTTTTGATATTCAGTTATAAATAGAATTACATAATTAACCGAATAATATAAATGTGTAATTTGTGATGGAATTGGTCGATACTTGTTAAAAATACATGATGAATATATTTGAAAATGTGCTGCTGACTACTTGATACATTTGGAAGTTAACTATAAACGTGTACATATCAATTGTCTAATAATTTTTCTTCTAATTGAATAGAACTGGCTGATATGAAATTTCATATTGAAACTCATTAATTCAGTTTATTGCATGATTTTCACTTTTGAGAAAGCTATTGTATAGCAAAACACGCGTTGCGGTTTTTGTAAAACCCTTTCTATTGTATTAACGGTATTAATGAGTTTTAATATCTTTTCTGTTTATGTTTACAATAAAACAGTGTTTAAATTTAGGCAGGCTTACATTTTTCATATTTTTAGATAAATAATTTTAACTCCCATATCTGGCAATGTGAATATTCCAGAATATAGAGCAGTCCAAAACATTGGAGATTATAAGAGAGCATTCCAGAACATTCTGGAGTGTTGTGGCATATTTGGAAACATTGTAGATCGCTCAGTCTTTTATGTATGAGTGGGGCAAATAATTGCCGCAGCAAGGCATATTCATTCAATCAAAAGTATACTCACAACTATCAGTTCTCATTTTAAAATATAATTAATTGCAACCCGTCATCATACGTGTTGCATCGGCTTGTCAAGTCACTTGGATTCATTTTCTCTCATCATAGTTTTATTTTGCGATAACTCCTGAAATGTTCAGTTGAATTGTATGGTATAATGTGCATGAAATGCTTAAAATAGGTGTAGTAAGCCATACATTAAAAGGTGACATTGTGGACTTTTTTGTAGACCTATAAAAAGGAGAACAATATATAGTGGATTGTTATCTTATATCCTAGAGATATCAGGTAGCATTTTTTATGAAAACTCGCCCGGGTAGCTCCACCACGTGACTTATCACAGAAAATATCGTCTCATTTCACACAAAAAATTAAAGAAATATGCAAATAAACCTTCCTCTCAACTCACTCCTCCATTGCTGAATACCATATAAAAATATGTAATGAAGATGCCAGGATGGTGTTTTCACCACCTTAGTCTACAGCAGGCTTGCTGTAAGGTATCAAAGAGCTTTATGCATTTGTTGTGATCTCATGTTGGAAATATGTTTTTTCCGTTAACCAGCTATCGCACCCCTACGAATGACAACCCTCAAAAGGCGAAACTTGTGCGGGCTAAGGACTAACGAGGTCTTACCTTTTAACGTGTGATTCCTAACACGGGTTGGACGATAGCAAGTGAAACTCGAGCGTTCAGCCTGGGGCTTGAACCATCGATTCACACTTCGGCGGATTGACTGAGTGAACAAAGCACACACATCGAACCGCCGGTTACCGATGACTTTGTCTATCAACATTACATGGTTCCGTGAGTGGTTTCTCAGGCTGATATAAGTTAATAAGCCTGACTTAGTCCTCACCAACCATCAATAAGATAAAATTCGTCATGGCGTTTTCAGCTATAGGTGAGACAAAAATTGTATAAAAAAAGGGAAAAAAACGGGAGAAATATCTAAATTTCACCTTCGAATTCTGCAGACTCTATTCAGACCACTCTGCTATAATGGTTGTTCTGACTATTGAAGTCCTTGGTGGAACAAACCGCAAGATCATACTGGTTTGCTGCATTGAAGCAGATATCTTGGCTGAACAATTGCAGAAGTTTGTCAGTCTAGGCACACTGTCTTGTCTGCGCTGATCATGTGACTCGGACCTAATGATAACTCACCTCATGGTGTTGGGAGTGGTCATTGATTATTGATCCATTGTGTAGGAGCTTCGGCGAAAGAACTCGTCCATCGACATTAAGGTCAAACTACTTTATTGAGAAAATAGAAATTTCAAAATGAAATCTCAATATACCTATACAGTAGGTTTTAGTAAAGCCTGCAGGAAAACAACATGTTGTTTTTCATTCAGAACAAGGTTTCATACAAACAGTTGAGCCGCGTTGGACGTCAGTCGAGTGTAAAATTTCACGAAGATAGCAGTGTCTAAGATATCAGCAGGTTATCACTACATAGTATAAAACAAAGTCGCTTCCGCTGTCTGTCCCTATGTATGCTTAGATCTTTAAAACTAATCAAAGGATTTTGATGCGGGTTTTTTCAATAGGTAGAGTGATTCAAGAGGAAGGTTTATATGTAGTAACATGCATAATATAGTAGAGAAACAGAGATAATTTTAGAGATTTCTAAAGTGATGTTGTAAATAAACACATTTTTTGCACTTACACTGCAAACGCTGGCTAAACCCTATGAGATAGATCAAAGAATGTACTACAGTATTGCACATCTTATAAAGGTCTACAAAAAAGTCTGCTGTGGTATATGTCTATCTCTTAGGAATAACCCAAAATAACCATTTTTTTATCCTTGAGAAATAATGCATACAGCACTAATACTTATCCAATTAAGTACCTTAAATACATTGTGCATTTAATATAGATTAACGTTGCCCTTTACAGCACTTCGCCCTTCAGCACTTTATGATTAGACGCGATCACATGCATTTATATTTAGTATCAGCATTGTAACCGTGCGGTTCCGGGCCGGGTAGCTAGTTTCTTTATATGAAAGACTGAACAAATATTTAATATTTTAACAAATATTAATATTAGCTCACAATTTTTCTTTTGAATGATTGTGACTACTAGTTGTGTTATTTTAATTTAAGTGTAATATGTTTTGACTATATTATTTTGCTAAATTTAACATATCAAATATTGTAGTGTTCTAGATATTTGATGGTCCACTGTTGGGATTTTTTTCCTGAATGAAGGATTAGATTACTAGAACAAATATATAATAAGATGATATTTGCAAGAAGAGATGGAGCAATAGTTTCATGCATCTTGTCATATAAATTGTTTTAGAAACTAAATGACTGTCTCCACATATATACAACTTATCGTTCTAATAACAATAATAATAGAATCCAGAACATTAGACAGAGCCATTTCAAATTAGAGATTGAAGCTTATAACTTTTACTTTCTGTGAAGTATAAAATGATCACAGTTTATTGATTGTGAAACTTTTTGTGTGGTATAAAAAAATTTAAACCATAGAAACTTTTCAATAACCAACATGTAAACTGTCAGACGATAGATATATGTCAAGATTTGGCAATTACCAACAACTCACGTTTATTTCACTATCTTCGATGTACTAAGTGTAGGTATCATCCAAATAATAGAGTTCCCTCTGGTTAAAAACAAACGCTAACTGTTTTATCTCTCACATGTATCTCTCACATGTATACTAAAATTTTTTTATAGCTTGTAGTAGGAGAAGAAAAGGCCTGGATAGAAATCCAAGATCAGTGCGAGGCTTGGTATGAGTATCTAGCAGGCTGGTTATTTTTCACTGAACCCACTGTGAAGCCCTTTGAGTTGGGACAGTTTGCCAAAAGGAGTATATCAAAAATGAGAATGAATAACCGCCTCAAACACTTGGATAGGGTATTATTAGCTGCAATGGAATATGACATTTTTCAGGTAGGTTTATTTAAAATATGATGATAACTAATGCCCGATCCAGCTTCCAGTTGGGTGGCAGAACACATATGCCTAAATTTTTCTGTCATAGTTTCACATCAGCTTGTCGTTGAAGATGGTTCCTGTTTTTACCTGAAGGGCATGCTTTTTTGAAAATATAATAGCCATGAGTTTTACCCTCTAAAAATTTCTAGAGCAGTCCAAAACATTGGAGATTATAAGAGAGCATTCCAGAACATTCTGGAGTGTTGTGGCATATTTGGAAACATTGTAGATCGCTCAGTCTTTTATGTATGAGTGGGGCAAATAATTGCCGCAGCAAGGCATATTCATTCAATCAAAAGTATACTCACAACTATCAGTTCTCATTTTAAAATATAATTAATTGAAACCCGTCATCATACGTGTTGCATCGGCTTGTCAAGTCACTTGGATTCATTTTCTCTCATCATAGTTTTATTTTGCGATAACTCCTGAAATGTTCAGTTGAATTGTATGGTATAATGTGCATGAAATGCTTAAAATAGGTGTAGTAAGCCATACATTAAAAGGTGACATTGTGGACTTTTTTGTAGACCTATAAAAAGGAGAACAATATATAGTGGATTGTTATCTTATATCCTAGAGATATCAGGTAGCATTTTTTATGAAAACTCGCCCGGGTAGCTCCACCACGTGACTTATCACAGAAAATATCGTCTCATTTCACACAAAAAATTAAAGAATTATGTAAATAAACCTTCCTCTCAACTCACTCCTCCATTGCTGAATACCATATAAAAATATGTAATGAAGATGCCAGGATGGTGTTTTCACCACCTTAGTCTACAGCAGGCTTGCTGCAAGGTATCAAAGAGCTTTATGCATTTGTTGTGATCTCATGTTGGAAATATGTTTTTTCCGTTAACCAGCTATCGCACCCCTACGAATGACAACCCTCAAAAGGCGAAACTTGTGCGGGCTAAGGACTAACGAGGTCTTACCTTTTAACGTGTGATTCCTAACACGGGTTGGACGATAGCAAGTGAAACTCGAGCGTTCAGCCTGGGGCTTGAACCATCGATTCACACTTCGGCGGATTGACTGAGTGAACAAAGCACACACATCGAACCGCCGGTTACCGATGACTTTGTCTATCAACATTACATGGTTCCGTGAGTGGTTTCTCAGGCTGATATAAGTTAATAAGCCTGACTTANGATTGAAGCTTATAACTTTTACTTTCTGTGAAGTATAAAATGATCACAGTTTATTGATTGTGAAACTTTTTGTGTGGTATAAAAAAATTTAAACCATAGAAACTTTTCAATAACCAACATCTAAACTGTCAGACGATAGATATATGTCAAGATTTGGCAATTACCAACAACTCACGTTTATTTAACTATCTTCGATGTACTAAGTGTAGGTATCATCCAAATAATAGAGTTCCCTCTGGTTAAACACAAACGCTAACTGTTTTATCTTTCTCTTTCACATGTATACTAAAATTTTTTTATAGCTTGTAGTAGGAGAAGAAAAGGCCTGGATAGAAATCCAAGATCAGTGCGAGGCTTGGTATGAGTATCTAGCAGGCTGGTTATTTTTCACTGAACCCACTGTGAAGCCCTTTGAGTTAGGACAGTTTGCCAAAAGGAGTATATCAAAAATGAGAATGAATAACCGCCTCAAACACTTGGATAGGGTATTATTAGCTGCAATGGAATATGACATTTTTCAGGTAGGTTTATTTAAAATATGATAATAACTAATGCCCGATCCAGCTTCCAGTTGGGTGGCAGAACACATATGCCTACATTTTTCTGTCATAGTTTCACATCAGCTTGTCGTTGAAGATGGTTCCTGTTTTTACCTGAAGGGCATGCTTTTTTGAAAATATAATAGCCATGAGTTTTACCCTCTAAAAATTTGTAGAGCAGTCCAAAACATTGGAGATTATAAGAGAGCATTCCAGAACATTCTGGAGTGTTGTGGCATATTTGGAAACATTGTACAATAAACAAAGTAAATGTAAATTATGTACACTATATAATGTAACATTACAAAAAAACACTTTTTTTAGAGTACTTGTCAATTTCAGGTAATAAAAGAAATTCAATTTATGACCGAAAATGGCTGGTTCGTTAGTCATTTAACAGATTTGCTTCATCACTGTGGACGATTATCTGGTTTAGAGAAAGAAGTAGAAAATTTGTGAGTGCTAATTTTCATATTAGTCTAGCTGTCAGTGAATAACTATATTTTACTCTTAGTTCCGCAGATAAATTACGAGAGTCTTTCATTTTGGATTATGGTGTAACTTTAATGGGCCACAGGTCTTTGTGGCAAGTTGGCCTAACATATTTAGATCACTGCCCAAATGACGGTCTGCATGTAATCGAGCTGCTATTACCAAGAATTAATATGGATTCTGAAGCGAAAGCACAAAAAGTTGTTCGGGAAGCTAAGAATAGGGAGCTCACTAATGTTGGTAAGCACTAATTTTGAGTGACCTTAGTTGATTCGTTCAAAATTCATTTCTTCCTCCAAGCTAAAATACTTTACATCAAATATGAAGGTATACTGTGTGTCCTATATTCTGTACAACTTAAAATTTTATTTCGTTCCCTAGTTCAGAGCATATGTAAAGTACAAGGAATGGTTTCGATGAAAAGAGGAAGATTAGGTAATGCCCTCTCATGGGCTCTAAAATCTCAAGATGGACCATTTACATCATTTTTGTCTGACAAATTTCTACAAGAGTACATCAAGGATGGAAGATTAGGAAGTAAGGATTTATTGGATAATTTGGGATCATGTATGCTTGTTAGCGACAGGTTAATTTTCTTAGGTGAGGTTGTTGCCAAGAATTATTTTCATGTTTGTTTTTATAATATCCATTTTTTCAGGAAAATATTACGAATTTCAAAAAATGTATCAGGCTGGAGAATATAGAGAAGCAGCGACATTACTGATTTCACTTCTAGCATCAAAAATAATTCCGAAATAGTAAGTTGTCAATTACTTTGTTGATTCAGTATCCTAAAATAATAATACTGTCCACATTGGCGATGTTTTTCATGTCCTAAGGAACACCCAGAATGACATTGCCATTATTAACAATTTCGACAACAAATTTTCAAGCTCTTCCACTATTTCAGTTCCGTTGATTGAGACTGAATGTAAAGTGACACTTAGAAGAATCGGTAGTCGAATCATGCCAACAAAACTAAGCTATTGAGTAGAATGCAAATTCACAGCAAGTCAAAGAAAAATTGAGTTAACTTTTCTTTGATTATAAAATGTGTAAAATGTTATTCAAATGGTTGTTCTCTGATTTCGATTAGTGAATATCCATCTCTAGTCTTGTTTATTTGATGTGAACATTTTTCGATTTACATTATTTCAGTTTTTGGTATGTTCTGCTGATTGAGGCAATTCCCTTATTGGAAAGTGAAGAAATACTATTTTCATCAAACGATACCTTCACCATCATACATTGCTTGGAAGAAAAGGAACATCTGCCAGAGTTGAAAGAAAAAGTCGATATTTTGAGGTTAGCGGCAGCCAGAAATCTATCGAGAGCATTAACTTTTGAAGCACAGTTAGTAGATTAGTTGTTTAGAACAGTGTTGATTTTTATTTTTTTAATAAATAAGTATAACGTATTTATGTGTATTCATCATTTTCCTCTCAAGACATTGGAGAAGCTAATGATATTATTAGCAATGAAAGAACATGGAGTTATTTAGGACAGCGTAGTTATTTATTGAGCTTATCATTCAAGGCTCATTACCGCTCAGGTCTCTCTGAGCTTTCTCATATACAAATCATCGCCATATACACATTATAGAGTTCAGAAGCTATGCAACACGAGAGAGGTGTTGTGAAATAGGCTTCATTACTAATTATATAATCAATAGAGTAATGACGAATTTTATGAAATTGACCCAGTCAATAAAGTCGTAACTTTAGTGAATTTTGAACATGGAAGCAATAATTCATCAAAAGATTAGAGTGACCGGAGCAATAGCTATAGTCCATACGAAGTCAATCCAAACAGCTAAATAAAAGACTAATGTACCGAGGTTTGATAAATTTACTAGTTAATACCGTATAAAACTTTCCACATTAAATTATTCGACGCCGACCATATCATACAAAGAAACTGTCGGCGTTCGATAACTATTTAGTTTTTATACCATTCAAATTGACTTGCCAGATCTAAGAATGTAACGTAATATCATTTTGAAGTACACTTATTTATTTCTACCAGAATTGGGGACAACCAACCGATTTCATTATTAGATTTCGCATGTGTGAACTTCAGAAATCTGATATGAAAATTTCGGTTATTGCATTGTCTCACGATGTTCTGTGTGCTGCTCTACGTATTTGTCGTTATTACGAGCTGGTACCCGAACATTCTTGTACATACATCTCTTTATTTTAAATGTCTGTTGCCTGCTCAAGTAGGTCCTCATCATTAATGTTTGCTTAGGGTGTGTGTCAAGTTATTTAGTTTCAACCAATTATTTATTATAGTTACTGTTCCTACAATTTTCAATAAAAGATATAATCGAAATGATTTGGCTGTATTCCAGTCGAACCAGATTTCGTCTTCGTCTTGGCGCCCAACGTGAGGCTGGAATCAGTAACGATGCCGATGCCTAATATTCAACACACTCTGAAAAATAGTCTATTCAAAACAGGAAATAGTCAAAAATAATTAAATGGGAGGTGTCTAACATCATTCCCTTGGAGATCAGAAATCAATTGGCCAGGTTATAGAAACGTGAGAAAGTGAAGGTACACTATATTCGTCTAATAACTTCGATCAATCCGTGGAAAGTTCTTGTAATGGGTGATTCAGATTGTTGATTGAGTGTGCTTGCTACACGCTCTTTTTCGAGAATACTATCTGTAGTTGAGCGTCATCCTGGCAAGGTCCACGTCGGGAAGGGTAGCTTGTAATATCCTCCAAAACGCGTTGGACGTTGTTCACAGTTGGTGCCTGAGGGAGTAGATGTCTGTCAACCCCAGCAAAACTGTGTTAATCCCCTTCACCAAGAGAAGGAAATTGGACGATCTAACGCCACTTTCCCTCCGTTCCATTTGGAACGGAGGTGAAATATCTTGGCATTGTCCTTGATGAAAGACTCACCTGGAACGCTCACTTGGAAAAAGTTTTACACAAAGCCAGATTGTCTCTATGGACATGTCGATGGATTTGTAGTAAAACTTGGGGTTTAGGTCCCAAACAAATCCATTGGATTTATGTGATGATTGTCAGACCAATGATCACTTATGATGCAATTGCTTGGTGGCCGAAGGCTTTACAAAAAACGGCTCAAGCGAAGCTCTCTGGCTTACAGAGACAGGCTTGTCTGGGTATCAGTGGTGCCATCAGTACCACACCGTCAGCGGCCATGGAGATCCTTCTAGATCTATCTCCTCTCCACATTTTTCTGGAAAGAGATTCTAGATGGACTGCATACAGACTTGTGCACATTGCCAATTGCACAAATCAATTCAATGTAGAGTGCAACAGACTGTTGGTTAACATTAGAAGTAATAGTATTCTGGAAATGACCTCTGACTTTATGCCTCCAACTGTCAACTACGAACTGCCTTACAAACTACTATTCCCGAGTAGAGAGGACTGGATCCTGCGAGAGAAGGAAATATTAAGAGCAGATAGTTGTTGGTTCACAGATGGATCAAAAACACCTACCGGTTCTGGTGCAGGTGTTTTCAGTCGAAGACCCAGGACAGGATCCCCTGCCTAGGAACTTATGCGACTGTATTTCAAGCGGAAATTTACGCTATTGAATTGTGTGCGGAGAGATTGGATAAATCCAATCTCACTCACAAGTCAATAAAAATATTCTGGGACAGTCAAGCGGCGTTGGAAGCTCTTGACTCCTACCGAGCAACGTCTAAATTGGTAGCAAACTGCCAAAAAAGACTCTCCTCGATAGGAAGACTGAACAGATTATCTCTGGTCTGCATTACTGGCCGGGGAGGCAATGAAGCTGCTGACTCTCTTGCAAAGGTGGGTGCTGCAAGCGGCTTCATTGTACGAGAACCTGTCATTGGCATCAGTTTGGGCTTTGCCAAACAAACACTGAACACCTGGATGGCAAGAAGAGTTATGGACTGCTGGCAGAATCTTCCAGGATTGGCTCACTCCAAGGCGTTTATTCACCCTTCAAAGCTTGATTCCAAACAGTTGTTGGACTACAGTAGGGATGAACTACGATTTCTAACAGGCCTTCTCACAGATCACTGTCATTTGAATCATCACATGCAGAGACTTGGACTGTCGGAAGACAGTGTGTGTTGCCTCTGTCTGGAAAATGATGAAACTGCAGAGCATATACTTTGTGCCTGCCCCGCTGGGGACCGAATCAGATTCTTTGAGTTCGTCAGATCCGTACTCTCACCATCTGACCTGAAAGACCACTCGCCATACAAACTAATAGGCTTCGTTAAGGAGCTAGGTTGATTTGGCCGAGCGTGAATGAATGTGAGCCACAATAAACCCTTATGGGTTGCGGTGGAGGGTCGAATAGACCCACTCATATTAGACCTACCTACCTATCTGTAGTTGAGCGAGCACTTTGCTTGCCAGCTGCCCCACAAAATAATTGTAGTCGTACCGCTCCTAGTTTTGGCACTTTGTCTTAGTAACCTTCTGTTGCATGCGCTTTTTTAGCAGATTTTCCAACTTATCTGTCACAAAATATTGTCGCTGGGAACGCATTTTGTTACCAAGTTAGCGATATAAGGAGATGACTGCCATTTTCAACAGAAATACTTTGGTAAAATTTGGTGAAAAAGTTTTGAATTGTACAAATTGTTTGATCATTGGAAGAGTCAAATTATGAAACAATGAGCTCTTGACAATGAACAATGATCGTCATGGGAAGGACCAACGTTCACATAACTATAATAGAACGAACCAGTCGTACTAACCAACCAGCTACCGTCCATTCAAATTAGTAATGAAATGAAAACATTAAATTAGTAGTGACAAACATCACCGGTTGAAAAAATAAACACCACAGTTCATTTTACTTGAATATTGTTTTTTGATAAAATGCTTTACACTTTACGTTATTAGCATATATTTCCAGTTGATTCTGAATTCTATTCGATTACTGAGACAAGTGTTACAACCCCCACTTTTCCCCAATTCTTCTTGGATAAATGAATATCACTTCTCATATAAACAGTGAATTTTAATATGTCTTGAAATAAAAGCTTCGATAGAAGATACTTCTGATCGAAATTGGAAAAATGCGTATCTTAAACAACTACTTTCGACTGAGAATTTTGAATTACTTATAATCACTTATTTTATACGCATAATGGGATTGAAACAGATAGACCTAAGAGCGCTACAATTACAAGAAGTTTTTCAATTCCAAAAACTAATATCTCCCAAAAAATCATTTAAAACATCTCTCGATCAATTGTACAAATGAAAACATCAGTTCTTCATTATCTTCTATTTACATTTTAGCAATTAGATTTTTATTATGAGGGTATTACCATCGCCTTCATAGATAAGAATTGTATTCCTCCTTGTGAATTACATATTCCAAATTCTGTTATACTTTTAAAACATAAGTGTTGCTGGGGTTTGCTGCCAATCTCAACACTAAGTGTATGCATATTATATAGTATCCGTTTCTCATCGTTATATGTCATCTGTTTTGAATATGAAGTTGAATCGTGCCTTCTCTCATAGCATAGTTCTTTAATTTTCTTCAAATCCGTAAAATTTTTATATTCCTTTATTTTCCATATATTATAGCACCATTTATTTGATTAAAAAACAAACAAATTCAATGTTGAAAAAAGATGTCTTTACGTTTTATCAAGTGCTGTGACATTTATATCCACCACAGGAAATGGTAAATGGTACGGATAATTATCAGCTGAAAGGGTAAGGGAGCTGGACTCCAACCTGATTGAACTGAAGATGACCATCCGGTACGGATAATTTCGAATTGTGTTGAGGAAATAGAGGAATTTGCCAAATTGTAATACACAAATGTCAAAGCTTTAGCCCGGTAGCCGGAGAGCCCCAGTCCATCACATGAAGAAGAAGAAGAAATGTCAAAGGTTAGAGGATAAATGTTCTCCAGTTCCAGTGTACCGTGTATCATCTTTCTCAAATGTGTTTACCATTTTGAAACTATATTCATGTTGACGTGCAGAGCATCGAAAATTTATCTCGGCAATTAATAACAATGACAATATTAATTCACCAAGGAATTGTTCTGACAACAACTTTGTTCTTTATCGGAGAGGAAGAGTTATAGGTTGTTCTAGTGAATCTAGTTATTAGGGTATTGACCCGTTACTTGAGTTCTTTGGTAGCATCAAAAGCGTTCGATTAATTAACTTTGAAATAGTAGTATAACTATGGAAATCAGAAACGAAAATAACGGCGTAGAACCTGGGCCAGACATAACAATGTTGTCTCCAGAAGTTCAATTATTAGGGTCTGTTACCAGCATTTCAGAGGGACCTGAGATGAAAGGACAGCAGCTGAGGTCCAGTGCTCGTGTTTTTAAGAAAATGAAAATGGACGTATCTGTACCATTAGCACCAGAAAAAATCGAGAAGAAAGAAGAACACAAGCCAGACACTAAAAAGTGCTTTAGACCTTTGTGGACATCTGATGACAAGAGTTTATTTTTTGAAGCTTTGAATGAGTATGGAAAAGATTTTGAAAATATTCATCTGTACATAAGCAATAAATTTCGAAAGAAAGGTGTTCCGGATCACTTGATCAAAACGAAGGATCAAGTCAGACATTTATACTATCGAACCTGGCACAAGATTTCCAAATATTTGACATTTGCTGATGGTATCAAAAAAATAGCACAAGAACTATATGCTTTAATAAATTATGGCGAACTGAGAAAGAAAATAGGATCTGTCAGCAAGAAAATTCTACCAAAACTGAAAGAATTAGTATATAAAGGTTCTTTGATGGTGAGGTTGAGAGGTAAACAGGTACGAGTGAAGACTCCCATGTGCAAGGCACTGAGAAAGTTGAATCAGCTTGATGAAAAATATGATGAAATCAGGTTACCAAATAGGTTGACTGTTGAACTAAGACCTAAAGATATGACTTCGTTCTTCAAAGTGCAAAGCACTGCTCAAAACCCAAGACTGAAGACATCACTGCTACTACAAAAAAGATTAGGTATATTGATAGAATGTCTTGAAAAGAAATGGAAATCAGTAGATGCCAGAATATATGATAAGGCATTAGTGTTTTCCAGGCCAGTCACAAACGAATGTTTGCCTCCAGACAAGGTAAGTAGATAGATTTATTCATTTTCAAATAAGAACCCTAATATAAAAATAATAGCTAATTTTTAAAATAATATAATATTTTGCATACATGCAAATTATTCCTATTAACAGTAAAATCTTCATAAACTCCTTTGTTAAATGTAAGAGTGTCATATAAAGTAAAATAGAATCTCTTGTTCAAAGAATCTGCCTTTTTTCAACATACATAATAAAATATACAATTTAATGAATATGTATATATAAGTGTTAACAAAACAAATACATTAAAATTCAACTTTTGAAAATCATAATTCTTGAATAGTATGGCTTTCATTTTTGAAATCAAGTTAATTATTAGGTTTTTGAATTTTTTAAAGCATGACTCTTTTCGTGTTAGTTGTAAGTTTATCATGGAACTCAATACATGAAAATGAATATGTCTAGACTCTTTCAGTCTACGTTAGCCTATGTGTTGGGATATAGATATAGTGGTGCTAATTCATTTACTATTTTATAGATAATATATCTCATTGGTGCTCTTACATTACAAATATGTTTTTTAGACACAATAGTGGTTAATAGCTGTCAACAAACGTCTAATTTTAAAGTTACATATCCATTTTGCCTTTTTATTCTGGATGACAAGCATTTTCAAAATGTATAGAAAAATGCATAAAATTAGATTCTAAACAAATGTACAATTCTCTTGTACATTTGTTTAGAATAATCAAAGCCGGATCAGGTTCTGCTGATACAATGTCTAGAGTCACAAATCGCTCTTCTTTACAAGTGCTATCTATGATCATGGATTTCAGTGTGCTTATCACATGTAGAGAAGAAACTTTTCAGTCAGTGTTATTGAGTGAATTTAAAATTCTGGTTGAATGATAAGGTATTATCCAATTGAAAATGTAAATATTAGATTCAAGCAACAAATTCAATAGCCTGTATTTTCTAGGTAATATCTCTGGTGTGGGGTTACAATCATGGCTTTCTTTTTCAGGTCATAGAAGTTAATAAAACACTGTTGAATCCTCCTTTGAGGCTCACTCCTCCAGCCAACTGTCGTATCGAGGTCCCGTCAATAAACTTGGGAGAATATTTCACTCAACAAAACATTTGTCTCAGCACCTATGAAAATCGGGTTGGTATTACAAACTACAGTACATCCTGTAAATATAATGATTTCAAACTGATTAACAAATCAGGTTCCCGTAAAGGGGGTGCAAGATCTAGAATAGATAGTATTAGTGATAAGTCTGAGAAATCTCCACAAAAAAATAGTTCCCACACGGATGATAACGATACTTGTGATAATGAGATAAATGCTGAAGGTGACAAAGGAGCCGATGAGCTTCAGAATGTGGTAGATAAGGTAAAACAGGAATTTGAAGAAGTGACAGTTAAGGAAGTTAAACTCAAAGAAATAGTAAAAGTTAATGTTCAAGAAGAGATTGCCAATCAAAAAAAGGTAAGTATTTGTTGTTGAAATTTGTTATATGTGTTTTTTAGAAATGAATACTTTGACAGAGAAAAACAAAGATATATTACTTATATAAAAGGCAATACGTGTTAAAATTGCAGATTTATATCATTAATTTAAAAGTATCAATGCTCTGAATACGTTGACTTCAATCAGATTGAAGTTTCAGTTCCATTTTATAGAAAAATATTTTTTCCACTTCCTATATTGAGAAAATATTCCAAGTTGATTCATTGATAAAAGAGAAACAAAATTGTTAATTGAATGGGTAGGGTGAAAATATTACCTAACAATTTACGCAACATTTAGGCTGCGGACACGAAAATGGCGACGGCCGAGCGATGGCGAGGCGACGCGACGGCGGAACGGTGGAGATGCATACAACAACATCGACAGTATAGGTGACGCGCAAGAAACGAGCGGTGGCGTTTCGTGTCCACGCGAGATACTTCTTCTCATCGTCTTGCAATCGGCATTGCTTGACCTTCGCGATTTTCGTACCCGCAGCCTTAATGCTAACAGGAGTTATAAACTCGCACAGAAGATGACACAGGGTGTCAAAAGAGCTGCTAGCATTAAATGTTAGTGTTGCATAAATTGAGAAGTATTATTTTCACCCTACCTATTCAATTAAAAATGAATTTACACATAGAAGCTGAATCTTTAGAACACAACAAAATTGTTGTTTAGTTAGTTTTTAGTATACCCAGCCATTATGAATATTTTAAGATTGAAGATTGTATCATCATTATTCAAGAGATATAAAATTAAAATTGTGAAAATTAGGGGCTCGATTTCAATAGGACAATGGCTTCATCATCATTGCCAAATTTAAATTGTCTTACTGTTTGAAAGATAAGTGTTTTGTATATTATGATATGGCAGACCAATGGACAAAAATATATTTGACGGAATCAACAAAGAAATAGGTTCTAATATTTCCTGGTGGATGTTTGAAAGGTCAGATTTCCATTGTCTAAGGTTCGAATTCCATTGTCTAAGAAAGTATCAACAGGTTTGAAATATCTGGGGAAAAATATGTTGAAAATACCGAAGATATGAGGACCGGAATATTTGGAGCAATTAGTGGAAAGAATAAAAAAATCCAAAGGAGATTTATAATTTCAACATATCTTTGTGAGTTGAAATGAAAGTAAATTCGTAAATTGATATAACAATATGTACAATATTACTTATGTACAACTTTTTGATTGTTAGTATACTTAATCTTCTTCACTGATTACTGGCCTGTTCATGATTCTTTGAGCTACTTATAGGTCAACAATAACCCATTCCCGCTTGATAAGAGTTTTGTACACCCTAGCATAGCTGAATGCCTCGTTATTCAACATGTTCACAGCTTCTTCAAACTTTCCTTCAAACCAGTATTCCCTGTGTATGATTTCAGCTTTCTACACGTTCTTGCTGTTTTGCTAGTAGATCCAAATATGCTCAATGATATAAATAGTATCAGAAATAGGCCAGTATCACAGGAAGATGATCGTAGTTACCACCAATAGAAATTTAATGAGGTAGCTTAGTTGAAAATTTTTCGCTTATCTTTTATTATTTACATTTTACATCATTTCTTTATTTATTTTTTATTTTTTTTCATTGTTTGTACTTTAGTTTTCTCATCTTAATCTATTTGAAATACTTGAGAGCATTTATCATTTTTTAGGAAAGAATAAACACTATCAGAAAGGGATGGACTCAAAAAGACTGCCAGAGTTTAACTATTGGTGAAGTGTATCTTATGTTTGGGTCTGATTCCAAATTAATTCTGGAATATAGCTGGGACAACCCAATTGAAGTGCTGCCTAAAACCGAAACAAACATTAATATGGAATTGAAGCTTGAAGAGGAAATGGATACATCGAATATTATATCTCAGGAACAACCAAAAAATTTGGATCTCAGTGAATCTTTGTCAAAATTATTGTCAGTTGCAAAACTTCACTATCGCAAAAATATCATAAAATGTCCATGTGGACACGTTTGCGGTGTGAAGAACAATGCTCAATTGAAAAAAGCAATGGAAACCAAAATCCGAAAAATTCTTACAGATATCGATAAGTGCACAGAGGAAGTGGAGGACAAAATAACGACAGAAGAAAATATGTTTGAAAGCACGACATTCACACCTCCTCCTGCTTATGTACAGCCAAAGATTGCTATACCTCCCCCATATTTTCAACAACGTAATACGGAAAATACCCCCATGGTCAAACTTGTGTCCCAAATTGATTCGATTCAAAGACTTTCACCTAAGTATTGTAATCGAAAAGGAAGGAAGCCGAGATCAAAGCAAGTTGTTGTTGAAAGGAAGCTTCCTCTACTTCCCAATAACATTGAAAGTGAGCACCAAATTGTGAGAATGAACATAATTTCCCAGGAAGAAACCAGCATAGGAACAGGAGAGAGTGTGTTTGAAAATAGAACAGGTTTCAACAATCAACCTATCACTGATATGGCAGGAGAAACCATCAGAAACAGTCCTCCTTGCAGTCCCTCTAGAATTCTGAAGGAAGAAGACAACCAGTGGATCAGTTCCGAAGTAGAGGATTATTCACTTAGTAGTCTTTTAGGACGTTTAGAATCTCCGATGAAGCCGGGTACTTCTAACTCAAGTATTATGGGTGATGACTCCCGGTTATCCCAGGATGTTGATGCTCAGCTTCATTCGATGCTCACTCAGAGCAGCATAGATTTTTCTGCAAATTTTGCCGATCTTGCAGCTCAAGTTGTTAATGATTCCAAACATAACTGAATTTGTATTATGTCAGTTTTGATAGAAAGTAGATTAGTAGTAGCAGCAAAACATTTTTACTTTCAGTTGTTGAGAAAATTAGTGACAAATATTAGGTCATAAAGATTCACTACTTTAGAGATTAGAATGCACACCAAAAAATGAATTGATTTCATTACTTAACAATCATATTTATTATTCAAGACATTTTTTGTTGGAGAATGTTTCTCAGATTTGAAAAATTTTTTTGGAACTCATAACTTTTTACAATTAAATACATGAAAATATTAATGAATCTAACAAATTGTCAGATGTGCCTGTGATCTGCAGGTTTATATTCCTGATGTGTCATCTGCTACTGCGATAGACGTTATCAAAGGCGATGTAGCAATAGTCGAACTGATCCACCTTACTGCGATGCGCATCTTGAAGATGATTCTGGTGAGTTTGTACTTATAATGGAACAAGGTGTCGGGCGATCAACTGCTCTTGCCCGATCCTTTTTCAATTATTGGGAGAATCTTTGTGTGTGCCGGTATCCATGTCTCGTTGATGTTTAAGGTCTCTTGATTATAGAATTATTCTATTTTCAATATGAATTTCTACAAAATAAATAGGTCATCAATCGAACAAGTTAAGATCTCTTCCTTACCCTTGAAATCATTCTTATGTTTATATATTTCTATGGCTTCTCTAAATAGCCTTGGATAGTGACCTCTTGTTTTAATAAATTGAAGGGTATAGCTGTTACTACGTGGTAAGAGATCATCATGAAAATTGAGAAATAAAACTTCCTATACAGTAACTGACGTTACTGCAATTTCGTCCTATACGGACATTTTCAGATGAATGCAATAATCAAAATCAAATCAAATATACTTTTTCAGAAAAAAATACATCTCATAGACAAAGTCTAAAAATACAAGCAATGAGTTATCATATATAAATAAAATAGAACACATGAAAATATACATATACCAAGCAAGAAATTATCAGTTCTTGAGTGTATCAGGAGACGAAAGAGTCATCAAAATATTCCTGAAATGAGTAATAGACTCCATCAACCAGAAGCAGTTTGACCTCTTTTCTGAATTTATTGTGGACATTGATTTCTTTTATTTTAACTGGCAGGTGATTGAACAGTTTGATGACATTGAAAATAATTCAGTCCCAAATTGATCAGCTCGTGGGAATCGGCTGATCCATATTGGTAGTGTGACTGCAGGTGAGGAGTGTGGCTCACATGAGACAAACTAAAATAAATGATAATATTAACCCTTACATATCTATACATCACTGTAGGTTATGAAGGAGGTCCTTAACTCAATTGAGTACCTGAATTTTGTTTACCTGTCCGGAGTGTAATAGTGTTTATGTGGGACAATGTGGCCGAAATTTCTCAAAACGGTATGCTGAACATGAAAGGTTCTTCAGACTTGGTTAAAATTATTCAACATTTTCAAACCATTCCTTGTGGTGCAAGCACAAGTTCTCGAGTCTAAACGATACCGAAATTTTACACTATGCAAGTAAGGGTTGGAAACTCAATTATTTTGAATCTTTGGACATTAACAAGCATAGGCATTGGATGTAACCTACTAAATGACTATATCGATTGTGTCAACTTGCCAGTTTTCAGATTAGCATACCCACATTGTCACAGGTAAACAAAATTCAGGTACTCAATTAAGTTGACGACCTCTGTTATTACCTACAGTGATGTATAGATATTTGAGGATTAACATTATCATTTATTTTAGTATATTGTATTCATTTGAAAATGTCCGTATAGGACGAAACTGCTGTACCATTAGATACAAATACAAGCGGTATAAAACATAGGAAGTTTCATTTCTCAATTTTCATGACCTCTTGTTTTATCAAGAACTTGCTTGCATTCTAAGATAATGTCATGGCTTCCCTCTGAGAGAAAGAGTTCTGCAACTGCCGATTTATCTGTTTGGCCACAGCGGCAACTTCTTTTATTCTCAGTTGAGCGCGTTTTAACGCTTTTTTTGTAGTTCCGATGTAGAACAAACCACAACCAAACAGTATTCCATATACTCCTAGGGTACTTGATGGATCCATGGGGTCTTTTGCTGACCTGAGACTATTATCTATCGTTCTTGTGGACTCTTTCAATTTGGTCCGTCGCTTCGCTCATGTAAGACAGAAAAGTTTTTCCATTGGCCATTCGATCCAGTGTCAGTGTAGTGTTTCTCTATGGGTCGTAGGACTCTGTTGATTTGGGCCTCGTTACATCCAATACCCAGAAACACATTCTTTAGATGACACATTTTCTCTTGTAGTCCTTCTGGTCTTGCCTCCTCTGGTAGAGGGGGCAAGAACAGAGACTTTCTCATTTTTCAAGCTGTACAAGATGGTGTTTATCTACTTTTACAAATTTAATTGACTCTGTATTTCTCATGGTTACTGATTTTCCCCATGCTGGCCCTCCTTATTTTGGGTACATTGTATTGGGTACATTTCACTGAGAAATGAGTAAAATCTTATTGGAATATCTTGCCTAGGCCATCAAAAGTTAACGAGTGCCCATCATCTGAAGGTTCTTAATATTCAAAAGTTCCTCTTATTTGTCATCAGCCATGAGATTACATAAAATTTCCTTTAGACTGTTAACATTGATATGCAAGGTAGCAAACAGATACAACTGAATTACAATTTATGACTTGTAACAATCGAAAAAAGTATTCACCTAATCAAAATCTGCAAAAAGCATTTTCCAGCACAAGAATGTACAAAGAGGAATAAGTTATTCTCCATTCTTAAAAGTAACTGATATTTTGTTCATTGATAGTGTCCAAAACAAGCACTTTTTCCAAACACCAGAACTTCAATACTATACTCGACACGCATTTCACCAACCAAGTTGGCGTCTTCAGGTGATGAAGTGAATGCCTAACTCTGAAATGGGTCTCTATTTGTATCTAACATTGTACACTTTCTCTTTCGGACTCAACATTGATAATTTTGAATAGCAATTCACGGTAAATTTTTTCTGGTGAAAGTTCCTGTGAATTTTAACAGATTGATTCTTAAAAAGGTAAACAATGGGCTATTTGGAATAGGACCTTTGTCACTGTTCATAGTTCCCATGCCACACTTTACTGTTTCCAGACTGTAGAAAGCAATCAAAAAAGTCTAGTGTAATGTACCGGTCTCAAAATTTTAGACAGTTTTCATTTATACAGCTTTGATTTTTCTGGGCTCCGAAATCGAATATATGATGCGTGCTCTTTGACACTCGTTTTAATGGATCGCTTAGTCTGACCGATATATTTTATGTCACAGTCCTCACAGTTTATTTTCATTTATAAACAAATTTTCATATTCCAACATCTTGTTTTTGGGTTACCTAATATTTATTGCAGTTTTGAAGGCTAGTTTCACGTTTAAATTAAAAAAAATACGATCTAAACCGTTAGTGTATCTTGGTATTTCGAAAACATGAAGATTTACAATTTACAAAAACCCTCAGCTTCAAAGTTCATTGTACGTGAAAGATGTCATCAAAATTTCTTGATTACTTTAAAAAATATTTGGTAACCCTAAAGACAAGAAGTTGGAATCTAAAAATAAGCTGTGGAGACTGACTAAAATATATCGGTCACACTAAGCGAGCCATTCAAAGACGTTTCAAAGAACACGCAGCACTTATCCGATTTCAGAGACCAAAAAAATCTAATGTCGCTCAACACGCCAAAGAGAATGGCCATAGAATAAATGAAAACTGTCTGAAATTGTTGAGATCAGTACGTGACACTAGACTTTTGGATGCTTTCGGAAATGACATTTTTATTCATCAACCTGTTGAAATTCAAGGGAAATTTCACGAGAAGAAAATTCCCAGTAATTTGTATTTGAAATCATCGATTTGTGTAAGTGTATCATTTTGAAATGAATTGAGACCCATGTTAGAGTTAGGAATTAGTTTACTTCATCTTCTGAAGACGCCAACTTTGTTGGTGAAACGCGTGTTGAGTAAAACATTACAGTTCTCTTGTTTGAGAAAACTACTTGTTTTGGATTTATTTTACGCCATTATTGGTGTCTGAACCTCTCAATAAGTGAAATATACAATGTGATGACTAAGTTTTCTCTCTGAACTTGATATCTAGTCAGTTTCAAATGTGGATTTTACCACATCATTTTAAAAAAACAGACAATGTTTTGCTGTTGTTCTTCAACATCTTTAAGCTGGTTATATCTTTTATTATTTATTTTATTATAGTCGATATTTATGAAGGCTGTAGTTGTTATTCATTGAAAATGAAATTATTCAATATCAGTACACAGTGTCGATATTAAATAATAAACAAAAATTGTCAACACTCTTGACAGAAGTATTTGCAAAGAAAACTTGAAGGGAATTTCAATTCAAAACACTTTTCATTGAGGAGTCAAAAAATCAAAAGTTCTGCATTGAAAAAAATCATACGTCTTCTGCTGGGAGTGATCTGGTGTCCATTATACTCACATTGTGTCGTACCTGAAGATGTGGGTTACATTTTCATGATACATATACTTACACATTGAGCAATGCAAGTATTTTTTTGTTTCAATTATTTTAAAGAGTTCATATTATTTTAGCCGATGAATTACCCACTCAATGAACTGTCACCAGAAATTTTTTATATCTGTTGGATATAATATTCTATTCTATGTTTTCATGTTAAAGTTTCCAAAGTATGTAAATTGTGATATGAATTTTTTATGTTGACCTTTTAGAATAAAGTTTTACCATCAACACTTTGTATTTGTTCCCTTATGATTATTGTGTTCTTAGGTTTTTAATTTTAGCTTAGATTGAAGAGACATTCGAAGATTTCAATGGAGGTAGGTTATAAAAATAGAAAAATTATAGAAAATAAAGATTTTGGTTATCAACTCTCCCATTCAGGACTTAGGGATTTTATAAGGATTTTAGGCCTTAAGGATTTGATAAGTCTTTCAATTCTCTTTCCAACACTGTTTTGTTTTGCAAAATCAGATCAATCGTTCACAGTTAGCCCTTTTATATTTTTTCAATAACCTGCAAAAATATATATCACAAAAAAAATGTAATATGTACCTATTGAACTGTGCAAGATAGTGTCTATCATCAACATGAAGTTGGTAATTTGCGATAATTGAAAATCGAATTGCACTGACGAGTGGCCAAACAGCCCGAAACCGCTCTGCAAAAGTGTGTTCCAATAATTGAAAATGAATTCAGGCAGTTATGTATCGCCAACAGCATATGCAGAAATAACTTCAGTGAAGAACCCTGCAATGACACCTGTCGGATATAATCCAATGCCCTTCGTGGTATTAGCCAGGAAAGTAGTTGTTTTCTGACAGGTGTCAGTCCGTTAGCCTAGAGTGTAGGTAAATTGAGACTAGCCATACTGTCTCCAAGTATGCCCACTCATTTATGTAAAAAAATCTTCATAATTGTTTGGGTAAAGTGGTATTACCTATCGGACGGAATATTAAAATTCGAAGATGAAAGGGAAAATGTCATGTTACTCGATCCTTAACCATTCAAACATTTGGGAGTAATTTTCGAAATGGCGTAGTCAAAAATACGGAAAAGAGTGTCCTTTTCCAATAAAAATAGTCGGTATTTGCATTTTCTTGAAATATTCATGCAGTTCTTAATAACTATTCGTTTAGTTCGAACACCCTGTATATATTACGTTTTTGGTATGGTCAGTTGTGTCAACTTGGTTGTTTTATTATTTATTACTTGAATTTGTTCAACTACAGTTCAACTTTCGATCTATTCTGAATAATCATCGTTGTTTATAAGTTTGTAAATATGTTTCTTTTTAACTGGCTCTAAAATTGGAAAAAATTACTTCAATTTAACTACATGTTGAAATTTGAAAAAAAAATGTCAATCAATTGGTAATAAGAGTAGAGATGCTCAATCGAAATATTGCATGAAAATCTTCAAAAAGTTCATATAGATGATGGGTAACTGTCTTCGCACAATTTTCATGAAATATATAATTATTCGCACATTCTATAATTCTGATAACATTTTTTTAATTTTCATTAAAACTTCATCGAGAAAGAGACGTTTAAATTTTTTCAGGTTTCAAGATGCAAAAATGTTTTATACGTTCCGCAGAGGAATACTTACCTACCTACTTTAATGAATTATTTAGTTCATAAAATTCAATAAATTAACATCCACATATTGCAACATTTATAAAAAAATATAAACCTACCCTTATAAGTTATCCCGCCATAGCTGATAAAGATGTTACTAAAACACATCAACATTATCAAAAGGTAAGAGATATATTTTATGCAATGAATGTATTTTTAAAAAGGGTGGTTTTATTTTCTCTATAAGATTTGTGAAGTATGATGTGGTATATGGTTAATTTTTGATCCAGCAATCGTTGAGGCATTCTAGTTTTGAAAAAACTTAATTTAATCAACAATACTGAAAACTTGGCATCTGCGGAAAAATGTCTATATAACTCAATTTGGAGGTCAATAGATAATATCAAAACACAAAACCAAAAAAAACTTCACTGGCGATACAACACAACAATGAAGATCAATGTTATGTGGATTTCGATATATTATTGACAATATATTTGTGACAATTAAAGATGTATCGTAACCAAAATTAACGTCAATAATTAACAAAACAAATTGATGATTATAAATCTGAGGTCTAGTTTATTAGTTTTCAGGAAACCGTTCTCCATAATATCTATCATTAGTATCACAATTGTGGCGATTTATTTTTGGAACATATCTCTCCAAGTTCTATGCCCAGTTATTCTGTCAAGTGTCATAATGTATCTACTTTTTTAATTTTATTGTTCAGTGATTGGTAGCGGTAAAGCGTCACAGAACTTAGCGTTTATTTGAGAAACTGAAAATGGTAAACAAAATTACTGTTGGAGATTCCTAAATAGTTGAATAAATTTTATTTATTTTGCTGAAACAATATCCGTGCAGCTAGATGTAATTTTATTCAATAATGGACGGTCTCAAATCAGACAGTGAGACGGAGCTAACCTCAACGATGGGCAATGCCCTGTCAGTGACCAACAAAGATGAAAAAAACGATACAAATGATGCTACCCCGACTTCATCGACTGATGCCAGTACGGCTTCCACAGCTTCACGAATAGGTAATAACTTGAAAATAATTTTTGGTAAAATACCTTTTGGCTTTCCACTTGTTCATTATATATGTACCTAGAAAGTGAGTGACTACTGAAGACAGGAAGAAAGAAAATTGAATATACATTAAAAACTCATTACGAAGTTTATGTCTTTCAGATACAAATGGGAAGAAATAATCCACCCCAAACACATACTTTCTCAAATAAATGACTTGAATTACACAGAAAACACTTTTCCTCATTGGGTTTGTACTTGCAAACATCCATAATGTAATTGAAACAGATGATCATTCATAGGATCACTACACAATATAATATATGGAGGAATACTGATATGACATTTCACTTGAAAGAAAAATTCTTAGTCTACTTCCAAGTTTTGGTGAAAACACTGATTCTCAACTAAACACTCACCTTTTTGGAGGACTTTGAAAAATCATTCATACTTCTAGTTAACCTAATTCCAGCCATAAACTTCCATTTAAGAGTAAAGTGATTTTTTTGTGATTGGCTTTTAGAAAACAAACTTATGGCTTCTTAGTTCCATCATTATATAGAAAGTGGGAAACTTCTAAAGAAAGAAAGTAATAAGATTTGTCAATAAAAACTCTTCAGGAGTTTTCCATTTTCATATAATGATGAAGAAGTGAAAAGCCAACCGTTTTTTCCTAAAAACTAATAAAAAATACAAGACAAGAGCGGATGTGTTTTTTCCGGTGACGTAAAGCAAGGAGAGTTGAGCGAGTTGTCTTGAGTTTATAAAAAGGTTTTGATGAGTTAAAAGATTATGTTCTCACCTGAAAATGTTTCAATTTCATTAGAAATGTTTGGAGTACAAGCTGAATGAAAAAAAGTAATTTTCTTGTACTTCAATTCAAATATTACAATACAAAGTATTTTCAAATAACTGTAAGAGAATGAATCTATTTCACAAAAAACACAACACATAAGCATCTTAAAAAAACAAATGAATTTCATAAAATAATTTATGTAATTATAAATAAACATGTTAACGAATTTAAGGGTACTTAATAGGAAAAAATGCAAATTATAAAATTTCACTAATTAGAATTTTTTCAATTGATATTTGAATTTCATTATGGAATAGTTACTTGTTTATTTTCTCTTGAATTGAATTATTTATAATGGGTTTGTCTTTTGGCATAACTATGAATATGTACAATTTTGATAAAATCACGTCTGATTTCTTTATATTACTCTTGACAAATTGAATGAAACAAATAATTTTGAATCATATTTTGAATCAGACTTTGTGCATGATCGTATCTTTATAAATAGTTTTAATTGAAATATTCAATTTTGATTTCTTTCAAAAGTTACATCCCGTATATATAATGATGGAGAATCTCTCCAAAAAATCCCTTTTCAATTTTGAAAATGGTCAATATAATCAACCTTATTTTGATGACTTGAATTGTAGTTTCAGATGATCCTATTAGTAGTACCTCTTGTGATACTATTGATCAGACAAAGGCCTCTGAGATGAGTCAGTCGGTTACAGATTTACTGGAAATGAACATTCCCAGTGAGAAAATCACTGAAGATGTAGAAGATCTTGTCCATGACTTGGAAAGCTTGCTTGGCGAATCTACAGATTCCTTCAGCATTCCCCTTCGGACTCCAACAGAAGAGCTGAAAGAAGCTGAAGATGTGGTCTCTCAAACTTCTGGTGAGCCAAACGAGGAACAAGATACAGCTGTTACATGTAAGATGCCCATATTTTTTATCAGAAGAATAACAACATATGATAATCTAAACATCAAATCTGCAGAATTGCTGGTTCTGGGAACTCATTAATGATACAGGACAGATTAGAGATAGGAGTTAGTCCACTTCATTGACCAAAGACTCCGATTTGGTTGGTGAAACTTGTGTTGAGAAGAGAGTCACAGTTCTGGCTTTTGGAAATGGTGCTTGGTTTGGATTCAATAGCAAGTCATTAAATACTTTCATAGTCTGTGTCAGAAAATCATACAATGTCTTTTGTTCTACACTGTACAAAGAAATCTATTGTACACATTTGAAATGGCACTTTAAATATGATTTTTATTGACATATTTTGCAGAATTTGATTTTTTTAAATAAGTAAATCCACAGTTACCTCATATGCATAGAAAATGTCTAAAATTGAACAATATATACATATTATAAACCAAGTACCATATTTTTATGCTTGAATATCCTGAATACCTATACAGGGTGTAACTAAATAAGTGTAAAACATTTAAGGAGGTGATTCCTCATCGAAAAAAAGATAGGATCTTTCATATAAAGAAATTTCATTGGAGCATCCCTTGTTAATATACAGCCCCTTAAAGGGGGTACATAAAATTTGTATAACAATTTTTTTCACAAGCACTAAAAAAGTTACAATAT